TACAGCTGTACACTCAAAGTCTTTCTGTTTCGCTCCATTCCCTACATTCCGAACCACCTCAACAACCCTTCCTAAAGCCCTCTGGACAACAGTTTGGTAATCCCGCACCTCCTCCTAACTTCCAAACTACGAATTCTCTGCATTATATTCACACCACACATTGCCCTCAGACATGACATCTCCACTGCCTCCAGCCTTCTCCTCGCTGCAACATTCATCACCCACGCTTCACACCCATATAAGAGCGTTGGTAAAACTATACTCTCATACATTCCCCTCTTTGCCTCCAAGACAAAGTTCTTTGTCTCCACAGACTCCTAAGTGCACCACTCACTCTTTTTCCCTCATCAATTCTATGATCACCTCATCTTTCATAGACCCATCCGCTGACACGTCCACTCCCAAATATCTGAATACGTTCACCTCCTCCATACTCTCTCCCTCCAATCTGATATTCAATCTTTCATCACCTAATCTTTTTGTTATCCTCATAACCTTACTCTTTCCTGTATTCACCTTTAATTTTCTTCTTTTGCACACCCTACCAAATTCATCCACCAATCTCTGCAACTTCTCTCCAGAATCTCCCAAGAGCACAGTGTCATCAGCAAAGAGCAGCTGTGACAACTCCCACTTTCTGTGTGATTCTTTATCTTTTAACTCCACGCCTCTTGCCAAGACCCTCGCATTTACTTCTCTTACAACCCCATCCATAAATATATTAAACAACCACGGTGACATCACACATCCTTGTCTAAGGCCTACTTTTACTGGGAAAAAATTTCCCTCTTTCCTACATACTCTAACTTGACCTCACTATCCTCGTAAAAACTCTTCACTGCTTTCAGTAACCTACCTCCTACACCATACACTTGCAACATCTGCCACATTGCCCCCCTATCCACCCTGTCATACGCCTTTTCCAAATCCATAAATGCCACAAAGACCTCTTAGCCTTATCTAAATACTGTTCACTTATATGTTTCACTGTAAACACCTGGTCCACACACCCCCTACCTTTCCTAAAGCCTCCTTGTTCATCTGCTATCCTATTCTCCGTCTTACTCTTAATTCTTTCAATTATAACTCTACCATACACTTTACCAGGTACACTCAACAGACTTATCCCCCTATAATTTTTTGCACTCTCTTTTATCCCCTTTGCCTTTATACAAAGGAACTATGCATGCTCTCTGCCAATCCCTAGGTACCTTACCCTCTTCCATACATTTATTAAATAATTGCACCAACCACTCCAAAACTATATCCCCACCTGCTTTTAACATTTCTATCTTTATCCCATCAATCCCGGCTGCCTTACCCCCTTTCATTTTACCTACTGCCTCACGAACTTCCCCCACACTCACAACTGGCTCTTCCTCACTCCTACAAGATGTTATTCCTCCTTGCCCTATACACGAAATCACAGCTTCCCTATCTTCATCAACATTTAACAATTCCTCAAAATATTCCTTCCATCTTCCCAATACCTCTAACTCTCCATTTAATAACTCTCCTCTCCTATTTTTAACTGACAAATCCATTTGTCAGTTAGATTTTATTTAGATTATTGAAACTAATTATAATTGTACTCGTTAGTATATTTTTGTATGTACATATTCCCATTATTCAGCATTGTGTCATGTGTGAAGTACTAGTACGATCCAACTTACAACCTGCTCAACATACGACCATTCGTACTTGCGACCATACGTCTGGCAGCAGGGCTGAGTGGGCCGATACCTACCGCCGTACGACAGTTGACCGCTACTCTCGGCAATGTGCCATCTCGAGAGAGCTCTCGCATCACTCAGGCAGCACCACTTTGAGTTACCCTGCCCTATCAGCAGCATCATACTGTATTAACTGTACTGCACTGTATATATGTACCTGGACAATAAATTTCACCATGGCCTTTAAGAGGAAGTCTGAATCTTGCACTGAAACTTGTGGCAAGAAAGACTCTAACTCTTGACCAGAAGATGAAAGTAATTAAACAGTATGTGGATGGAAAAAATGTCAACGACATTTCTCACGATCTTCGGATCTCCCATTCCATTGTCAACAATACTTAAAGATAAAGAGCGCATCAAACAAGCAGTGAAATCTTCGGCCCCTATGAAGCATTCATATAATTTCTCAAAATATTTACTACTTGAGGTGACCTTATCTGCTCTCCTATGTATCTGTAGACCCATAACACCTCTGTATTTAGAGGTAATAGCAAATTTGATACATTCTGTAGCCACATTAGTAAACAACAATTTTTATGGCATAATTCTAAGGAGAGACTGTTGACAGGTCCAATGGACAACTGCAGCTTTGTGCCAGTCACCATTGGATCAATCCATCGCAACAAAGTTCCCTGTAGAGTGGTGTGTGCTGGGCAGTCAGCTTCGCTGTCACTCAGGGGACCAGATTTGAGCTTACGCAAAGGAATGAAACTGATGAGCATTGAATCGAGGCCCAGAGCATGTTTTTATTTTCAGGTTTGTTCAAATAAATTTCTGTTTATGATCTGTGGCCTGTTTTCTTATATTAGATTCAAATTCAAACTTTATTCTCTATAAGTATTACAATGCTGAGTTTACAGAATTTGATTATTGTGTGGTTTACATGTAGTAAAATAATAATTACAGAGTGTACCACTAGAATGCTTAGCATGGCTTGGCATTTCGGGCAGACTTGTATTAAATCTTAGGTTTAAAATGTTACAGAATTATGGGATAAGTTGGTATTATGGGTAAGTGACTAAATACTAGTTGTGAGTTTAGCAATGTGAATGCTTTTGTTTTGGCACTACATAGTTTCAGTACTGGAGTATCACAGGCCAACTTTTGACTAGTTAAGATTCATTATTTTGAGATTGAGATTGATATTTCTGTTTATGGTCAAATGGGTGAGTGAGTGTAAGTGTGAACCACCAGGTGGTATTCGTATTATTAGTTGACAGGGTGTATCAGGGAGATAAGATGTTTTCTGATGGTAGTTTTGAAGGTGATGAATGTGTCTGCAGTTTTGGAATTTTCAGGTAGGGTGTTCCAGATTTTAGGGCCTTTGACATACATTGAATTTTGTAAAGGTTTAGTCGGACACGGGGAATGTCATAGAGATGTTTGGTCTGGTGTGTGCCTGTGGGTTCTGTCACAACTATCAAGAAAGCGTTTTAGGTCAAGGTTATAATATGGGATTTAAGGTCCTGTAGATGTAATTGCACAGTAGTAAGTGTGGATGTACTGAACAGGGAGTAAGTTTAGATCTATGAAGAGTGGGGAGGTGTGTTGCCAGGGATGGGATTTAGTGATTATTCTTACTGCAGCTTTTTGTTGGGTTATTATTGGCTTTAGGTGTGTTGCTGCAGTTGAACCCCAAGCACAGATAGCATAGGTGAGGTATGGATATATAAGTGAATGGTATAGTGTGAGAAGGGCAGTTTGCGGCACGTAGTATCGTATCTTGGAGAGGATCCCAACCGTTTTGGATACTTTTTTGGTTGTGTTGGATATGGGTGCTGAAGTTCAGGTTGTTGTCGAGGTATAGGCCTAGGAATTTGCCCTCATTATGCCTGGTAATTAGAGTGTTGTCGATCTTAATGTTAATTTGCGCATCTCCTGCCCTGCTACCAAACATAATGTAGTAGGTTTTGTCAACGTTAAGCGTAAGTTTATTGGCTGTCATCCAAGTCGATATTTTGATCAGCTCCTCATTAAAGGGCAGGTGACCTTGGTACAGTCTCAGTACTGGTAAACTTAAAACTTGTTAATCCATAGCTTGATATGTCTGCAAGTTACTGTACCTTGCCAGTTAATACATATTCATGCTTAATACAGTATTATAGTTAATACATTTAAAAAATAAATTCTAGTATGTAATTATATACAGTATAATATAAATTAGTGTATAATCTTCAGGCTAGAACACAAGTTCTCCATCACTCAAGCAGCATATGTCGTGGATTCCAAGCAACCGTCCATATAGGAAATGTTCGGCAGACTGCAGTTGTTGAGGGAATTCTAGGATCTCGGGGCTTACACACAAATGATCGAGGCTCTGTGATATTCCGTTTCCTACGACAACCTGAATTGGTCCAGAATGGGGCAAGGCTACTCTTCCGACAAGGATCAACCAAAGGAATTGGGAAAGTAATTCAGGTATTCGAAGAAGAGCCCGATAATGTTGACCTCTATTTTGGTGTTGCAAGATAAGTTGATTATGGTACAACTGTATGATTATGTTTATACTTGTATATAATTTGTCAAGTGTTCTAATGATATAGTACACTTTAAATATTTTCTAAAGAAAATTCTTTATTTTTATGTTCTTATATATACCTCAGATATCTGGAAGAATAATGAGGACTTAATGAAAGGACAGTATCTCTTTTGAAAATGAACTGTATACGATATGTTAAAGGCTCCCTAAAATGTTAATGACCTACTCTTGCAGGAGACACTAAACTCTTAAGTCATTCAGCCCTACATGGTAGAGGTTATATAGTAAGTGGGTGTCGGTTAATAAAGCAGACATGTCTGCGTACGTGTCTGCATTGCAGGTTAGATCATCACAGATTGGGAGAAGTGTTCTCTAACATAATTGCAAGAAAATACAAGAATAATTTCAGTTTTATTTAAAAGGCATGTTAAAAGCACTTGCTTCATTATCCATATACTTTAGATATAATGAATGCAATAGAATTGCACCATGGGCAGTGCATAAACTGAGTACTGAATCAATTTGTGCCCATTCTGAAAAACATTTATTGAACATATAGTTTGTTAGAAATCAAGGTTGAAAGTTGTTAGCCAAATTATTCCTGTGGGGATGAAACAAACTTGCAGGATTAACACGTGGGGATGAAACAAACTTGCAGGATTAACACGTGGGGATGAAATACAAACTTGCAGGATTAACACGTGGGATGAAACACACGTGCAGGATAACACGTGGGATGAAACAAACTTTGCAGGATTACACGTGGGATGAAACAAACTTGCAGGATTAACACGTGGGGATGAAACAAACTTGCAGGATTAACACGTGGGGATGAAACAAACTTGCAGGATTAACACGTGGGGATGAAACAAACTTGCAGGATTAACACGTGGGATAAAAAAAAAAGTTGCAGGATTAACACGTGGGGATGAAAACAAACTTGCAGATTAACAACGTGGGGATGAAACAAACTTGCAGGATTAACACGTGGGATGAAACAACCTTGCAGATTTACAACGTGGGGATGAACAAACTTGCTGGATTATAACAACGTGGATGAAACAAACTTGCAGGAATTAACATCGTGGGGATGAAACAAACTTGCAGGATTAACACGTGGGGATGAAACAAACTTGCAGGATTAACACGTGGGGATGAAACAAACTTGCAGGATTAACACGTGGGGATGAAACAAACTTGCAGGATTAACAGTGGGGATTGAAACAAACTTGCATGGATTACCACTGGGGATGAAACAAACTTGCAGGATTAACACGTGGGGATGAAACAAACTTGCAGGATTAACACGTGGGGATGAAACAAACTTGCAGGATTAACACGTGGGGATGAAACAAACTTGCAGGATTAACACTTAAACGCTCCAAACAGATCGACTTTCAAATTCGTAGCTACAAAAGTAATCTACTTTTTTTTACATATTTTCAAATATAACACAAAAAAAAATGTAGATGAAAGTTTTTTACACATTTTCAAATGTAAAACAAAAAAGAAGATCTACATTTTTTTATATACTTTCAGATGTTGAAAAAACGTATATATACGTTTGGACCATTTAAGGGTTAAAGGCCTTCTCTCTCTTAAGCAAGAAAATATTACACACACATACTTGATAAAATGGCAGTGTAATAGTGCACTATAAAACTGAAATGGCAATTTTTTTTTTTATTTGTGGGTATTAACCTCTTGCTTTAAACTTAGTACACTCATGGAAATGAAAATTTTAGATAGCAAATATACTACTTCCTTCTGATTTTGAATGCAACTAAGTCATCCCATTCACAAACTACAAAGTCTGAAGGTTAGATTAGGTTAGATAAAACAGTTTCCCTAGCTTTCACACAGGTTATGACAATACCTGATAGTAACAGATAATTGCCTAATGTAAAACTCCATTATAAATTGTCTTAATCATTACTTATAGTATAGAGGCATTGTTAACATTGTAAACATTGGCCCATTTTTTTTTCTTTCAGTCTACCCAATTAAGAGTTTTGCTTGCAACATGTATGTTTTTAACAGTTGTGCACCACATAGATATCCTTGCAGGTATAACTTCAACTCTATTATTTCCTTCAGAAAGTGAGCCAGCTCTGATATTAGTCCCATAGGATGACCCCAGGTCTGTCCTCACAATCATCCAAATATTACTGTTAAAATATGTAATTACATATCTGGCATGTACCCTACAAAATAACAACTTACCTCCACACAAACTTAAGCTATGCTCTGCAGTTTCTGTGGAATTATTTCTCCTGTATTTTATCCTCAAGGATATCCCAGTGCCATTGTCATCACAGTACAGTCGTTCCTTCAAATATATAGGGGAGGGAGGGCAAGTTATGTTTCTAAACTTCCCATGTAACTTGAAATGTCAAATTTAGTTTTAGATTTCAGTTCACTTTCAGTTTCCAAGACAGTATTTCAGTAATACAGTATATCACTAATCTGGTTAATGTTGACATTCACAAGAAATAATGACCAGGATAAAGAAAGATTTGGGCATTAAGAAAGTTGCTGAACCAGTAAAAACACACTGTGCATTGTTTAATCTATTCACTGGTTACCAGTCATTAAATATATATATTGGATAGTTTAAATCAGATAATTTGGAAGCCCACAAGTTTGTTGACATGACTGTATAGCTCTACCCCCATTGCATTTTAACAGAATTAATATTTTTTCCTAAGAGAATAATCAGTCCAACTGATGCAGTTGTGATTGAATTTTGATGTTCATTGTTAGTGTCATGATGTGTAAAATGTCCTTTTTGTGAAATTAATTTGACAAAACTTATCACATTATATACATTGAACTAAAGTTATCCCACTTAATATTTTTTTTTTTAACATACACCAGCCATATCCCACTGACACAGTGTGACCTAAAAAGAAAAACAAAGGTTTTTCTTTTTAAATTTAGTAATTTATACAGTAGAAGGAGTTACAAGCTCCTTGCTCCCAGCATTTTAATCACCTCATGTAATAAAATAAAAAAAAAAAAAAAAAAAAATATAAATAGTTTTATGAAGATAAATTTTGTGACTCTCTGATGCTTATAAATCAGCCATTTGCCTTAGTTCTATTTCCTAATGTTGTGGTACAGCATGCTTTTTGGCACTGAAGATTATACTCATTTAAGAATCATCATAGTAAAAGATGAGCTCTGCAAATCCCATAGTTTATACCATCCTTCCTGACCCTTGTGTGGCTCCCCATTTCTGGTATTTAATCGATGACATGACTGCAAATACCACAGCATCATCCATTTCTTATAATTATATATATATATATATACATATTTTTTTTAACATCGGCCATCTCCCACCAAAGTAGGGAGACCTGAGAAAAGAAGAAACTGCAAAAACATATGCCTCCACTCTTATCTAACACATGCCTGCTGGATGTCCAAGCCCCTCGCACATAAAACCTTTATCCCTTCTAACTTTTCCTAGGGTGACCCCTACCATGCTTACCCTCTACTACAGACTTATACACTTTTGTACAAAAATATTCTTCAGATGCTGATATTTCAAGATAATATTACATCACTGTGAAATATTTTGTTCTTAATATCTAAAGCCATAATGTATGTTCTTTCCACGCACCAGCCGTATCCCACTGAGGATAATATATGTATCATGATTATATATATCTAAGAAACATTCTCTTCAACTGAAAAAACTGAAGCATGTTTTTAGTATAAAGAATACTGAGGCAGCTGATCATGGCATGGACTCCCTTGTATGTAGAGTAAACATTGTCAACCATAAAGCCTTGTCCTTACATATTGTCTTTCTGTACTAGGGATTTTTAAACACACACACACAACACACATTCACAACACACATTCACAGCACACAAACAAACATACACAAAACACACACACAACACACACCACACACAACACACACAACACACACACACACACAACACACACAACACACACATCACACACACAACACACAACACTCACACAACAAACACACCACAAACCACACATCACACAACACACACACACACACAACACACACACACAACACACACACACACACAACACACCTCACACTACACACACATTGCACACAACACACACACACAAACACACACACTAACAACACACACAACACACTACACACAACACACACACGTCACACACAACACACACACACAACACACAACACAACACACACAACACACACACACAACACACGCACAACACACACACACACACACAACACACACAACACACCACAACACAACACACACACAACACACACACAACACACAACACACACTCAACACACACCAAACACACACACAACACAACACACAAACACACTCACAACACACACCCAACACACACATACAAACAACACAACACACACAAACACCAAACACAACACACACAAACACACACACACCACACACACACACACACACACACACACACACTACACACCACAACACACACACACACACATACACACATGCACCATATATACACACATGCACGCATATAGACACACAGCATGTATACACCACATATCCATAATACACACACCATATAATACACACACACATAAATACACCCACACATAGAACACACACACACACATATAACACACGCATATATACACACACATGCATATATACACACACACACGCATATATATAGCACACACACATACACACACACACACACTACACACACACATACACACATACAAAACACATATACACCACACACTAGAGAAATCCAAAGGTTTGCGACAAGGTAAGTTCCAGAGCTAAGGGCAAATCCTATGAAGAAAGATTAAGGAATCGGCCTGACGACACTGTAGGACAGGAGGGTCAGGGAGACCGATAACGACATATAAAAATATACGCGTGGAATAGACAAGGGTGGCCAAAGACAGGAATTTCCAGGAGGGGACACAGAAACCAGAGGCCACTAATTGGAAGATTGAAGACACAAAAGAGTCAGAGAGATAGTAAGGGAAGTATTTCTTCAGTCATAAGAGTTGTAAGGCAATGAATAGCCCTAGAAAATGGGAACGTAGTGGAGGCAGGAACCATACACAGTTTTAAGACGAGGTTTGATAAAGCTCATGGAGCGGGGAGAGAGAGGGCCTAGTAGCAACCGGTGAAGAGGCGGGGCCAGGAGCTAGGACTCGACCCCTGCAACCACAAATAGTGAGTACACACGGTCTTGAGCTGACCTTAGGTGCTTGCTTCCCTCTTATTCTTATAAGTAGCATAGTCGGTGTTTTTTGTATACTTGATAAAGTCCAGTCCTGGATGAAATACTGATATAAAGGTTTCCCTTGCAAACAACCTTTCTCCATCACTCCAGTATTTTGAATTTAAGTAGAATATGCTACAGTACTTGGTTTCATGTCATATAGGATGAGAAGACGCACACATACAGTACCAGGTACATTAAA